GTCCGGTGCTCCTGGAGCACCTTTACAATTTCTTTTTTCAATGTCTCGGAGAGGCCGACTCCAATTCGGACCCGTCGGTCCGGCCATGCAGAGTCGATCTCGACTTCCTCCAACTCGACAGCAGGCTCTGGGCGAGGTAGTATCGTCTTCTTCGGGGGCCTCTCAGTGATCTTCTGGATCTGCATCTCGCGTTTGCCCATCCCTCTGCATGCCTGCAGATAGCAGTCGCGGGCGACCTTTCGGTCACAACGCACCGTGCCTACTCCATTCGGTGTGCGGAATTTCAGGCAGAGATGCTCAATTGAGATCAAGGCTCCTAAATCCTCAAGACCCGGTCGGCCAAGGATCGCGTTATGCGAGCAGGCCAGGTCTACCACAATAAATTTCATGCTGAGTTTCCCAGTGCCAGGTCGAGAGCTGAACAGCGTTATGCGAGCAGGCCAGGTCGAGAACAGCTGAACCCGATCGGCCAAGGATAGCCGTTGACGTCCATGGCTATAACCAACGCATCTCGATGCGGTATTTCTCTGGCTGGTAAGTCTCTGTCGGTGAACACGGTAGGCTCTCGACACACCTTTTTGGAGTTCTCCTCACGCCCGTACACTGTCCCGACGTACAACTGCCGAGCCCAAGCTTTTCTGGTGTTCGCTGAATCGCCACCTTCCGGCCCGTCGACTATCATGTTGATAACCGGTTTTTGGCGCCACTGAGCCTCCTCCTCTTCGGGAACCGGCTGTTTGCCTCGACTGCTTTCGGCAACGGCGACGGGTTCCTCATCCCCTCGACTGCCCGGCCTCCGCCTCCACTGGTTAGGAGGCGGGGTTCCTTGCTGGATGATGCCCTCCATGATCTTCTTCAGGTAGAAGCACTCCTCCGTACTGTGGGTATAAGATTTATGATAACGACAATACTTAGCGTTCTTACCCATCTCTTCGTTTGTCGCGCGATCGTCGGTCGGCGGAGGCGGAGGCGGGGCAACCGCTTGTACCTCGTGGACCGGACGCTCGGGAATCGGCCGATAGGCGTGGACCACTGGTCGGTCGTACGGCCGTCTAACTTCGGGTTGCCGAGCCACGTCCGGGCGCCTTTCTTTGGCTTTCGCTCGCGTTCTCTTTCCGCTGGCAGATCCGCCGACTTCGCGCTGTCGCTTGTACTTCATAGCCTGCTCCGTATTGGCCCTCTTGTTGGCCATATGAATGGCTTCTGCGTAGGTGGCCGGCCGATTGTCCCTCAGGTCTCGGTACAGCTGGCCGGACCGCAGCGACTCGATGAAGAAGGTGAGCGCCGTCTGGTCCTCGATCTCTTCTATGGACTGGATTTCTTTCTGCCAGCGGGCCAGATAGGTTTTCAAAGATTCGCCTTCGTCTTGACGGATGTCACCCAAGTGAGTTAGGTCCTTTTGTGGCTTAATATTAGCGGCGTAATGGCTCATGAAGCGGTCTGCCAGCTCTTCAAAGTTGTGAATCGACCCTGAGGGCTGCGCCACCAGCCACCTTTGTGCTGACCCCTTCAACGTGGGTAAGAAAGCACGACACATGACCGGGTCTCGTACCCCCAAAACCTGCATCTTGGCCTGATAGCTCAGCAAATGCTCGCGGGGATCGCCGGTTCTATCGAACGTGGCTTGTTCCGGGAACTTGAAGTCACTCGGTATCTTAAAAGCCATAACCTCGTCTGAGAAGGGTAAGGCGGTCAGCAACGTACGTCCTGGGGATTTGGCTTTTCCCTCCATCCGTTCTTTCAGATTTCGCACCTCCTGTACTAGGTTAGCCACTTCGACCCTCTCCCGGGTGCGATTTCCCGTGGATTCCGTGCTTTCGCCGACTTCAGACTCAGCCGGTTGGACGGGGTTGCGGGGAGGTTTCTCCACGCGACGAGTCTCAGTCCTGGCTCTTTTGGTTCGGCTCTTCTCTCGTGCAGCTTGTCGGTCGCGGGCGGCTAACGGGGTACGACTGGGCTCCTTCCGGCCTAATCGTTCCCTTGCCGACCGACGCTCAACGCTGGGACCTAGCCAGGAATGAACGGATTGTACCGGTTGGCTTTCAGCCCGTCGGCTCAATTGCCGGTTGTCGGGCCTCTGAGGCGGTTGCAACTCGCGTTGCGGCTGGCGAGTGATGGACTGTTCACTCACTCCTAGGCTCGCTTCGGCGCAGGCGCGCCCGATTGCGCGTAACTGCTCCGGGGTGAGCAGCACCTGAGGTAATTACGGGTTTATCTGCGGCGTCGGCGGCGGTGTCGTCTCGTTTTCTTGGCTCCGAGCATTTCTCCTATTCAGCTGGCTTCTCAGGTCGGCCTCCCGTCCGTTGTCGTGACGGCTCGACTGTTCCTCGCTTCCCGCCATGTCTGGAGTTTTCCTGATTCGACTGTTTTTCCTCGGACTCGCCTCACTCAAGAGGACACGTGACTCTTCGTTTCGATCCCCACAGACGGCGCCAGTGATGGTTTTAGGGTTTTCGGGCCCAAGGAGGTCCAACACAACCTTTGGTCGGAGGATACACCTCTCAATAATTTATATGTCTAACTCAGGGACAGTGTTAGTGCTTGGAAATTCTTTGTTATTCTCCCCTCTTCCGGGTGTCCGAAAATGTCTACCTTTTACAAGAATGGAGGAGCCTTTATATAGTGGCTCCTCCTCTGCCGACTTGAAGGCCCTTAATGGCCGACTTCAAGGCTAATCAAGATATGGAGCCGTTGGACGCTATTACTCGGTCGACCAACGGCTCTCCTAGGCTAGTAATAGCCCGACCGGGTCCTGTCTTTAATGCTTCAACGGCTCTCTTTTAAAGGAACCCCTTTAATGCCCTCAACGGCTCCTCGAGCCGGGTCCTTTCCTGGGCTTGGGCCTCGGCCGACTCCTGGACTCGACCTGACTGCTCTTTGGGCTCCTCTCGATGCTGGCCCACTTCTATTTTCTTCGGGCCCCCATCTCTTGGGCCGGGGTCCTTACCCCATCAGCAGGCTCAACAAGCACAACCGGAGGCTCAAGCCCAAGCGGGAGACCCCGAGGAAGTCAACCGGGCAGTAGCATTTGAGCGCCTCCGACCAGCAATGCGGCAACGATTGGGACCGCAGGACCCGAGCCGGCGCTCAGTAGATGTGCCGATGCAAGAGGCTAGTCAGGAGGCTTCATCCGGGCACAGTGGGTCGAGATCGCATCGTCGACGACGCGCCCGGGAGACGACCCAGGCCTAGACAACCGAGCTTAACAAGACCCGAGGACTGCTCCATAACCTCCAGGCAAAATTTGCTCGGTTTCGAAATGAGCACGCAGTGAGGCCCCCGGTCGACTGATGTTATCACATCTGTGCTTGTTTTTATGGTTATTTTGAATCATCATAGTAATTAAGTTCTTTAATTTTGCTTATTTAATACAGGTTTTCCTTGCTATTATCATTTAATTATGGTTCGTACTTGTTTTGAATGTTTTACGGTGTTTGTTAGTGTTTTTGAACCATTGTAGGTCAATTCTATGAGCAAGGGAAGTTCAAGGATGAGTTTGGAGCAATTTTGGATGAGTTCGGGGCCCAGTGGACTCGACGCGTCGAAATTTTCCAGTAGCTAACTAATTTGCGCACAGGAAGTCTCGACGCCTGGAGAAAATTCTCGACGCGTCGAGAGAATAGGCGTCTATTTCTGGGATAAAAACAGACGCCTAAAGTGGCGCAGCTGGGCAAAATTCAATACAAGCGAATAGGCGTCTATTTCTGGGATAAAAACAGACGCCTAAAGTGGCGCAGCTGGGCAAAATTCAATTCAAGCGCGAGATTTCTTTTCCTAATATCAATTGCACGGATTTCAAGGCTCATATCTCCATATTAAAAGTTAGCAATTCAAGGAATCTTCCAAATTCTAAATATCATTAAAGACGGCAATTTCTTTATTTAAATATAGGAATTAGAATTTGAGTCCAATTTGGTACAAGATTCCTATTTCATCTCAACTTTGTACCCACTATAAAATCCTCCTTCCTCAACCCTAAGAAGACACCGAGAGATTTTGAGAGTTCTTTGTAGACAAGAAAGAGAGAAATCGAGAGGCTCAAGTCGTCTTTGGAAGCAAGGAGGAAGCTAGGGAGATTTGGGAGAATCGCTTGGTTAATTCTTGTACTCTTCTGATGATTTGTAATCCTTTATTTATATTTGCTATGTATAATTTAGCCATGCTCGGCTAAATTCCTTAGGGATTTTTGGGTGAATTTGTTTATGAACCTATGTGCCTAGTTCGTTAATTTCTTAATATATTTATGTTTGGTTTTATGATTTGTGTTGCAATCTTGTTTTAATCTGTTGTTGTTGGTAGTTAAAGGCCTAAATTACTAGCTTCACAGTCATGTTTGTGTCACCAATGGGAGTTGGGGCATAAATTAGGGCACACACGATTGCACCTAATGGTTGGTCCTTGGGAAAGGGGAACTTATTAGGGGAAGTTTATTCTAGATTATTGCTCATCCGGAGATGGTAGTAATTAGGAATAATTGAATGCTGATCTTTGATCTTATTGGGTGTTTAAGCCATGGGAGTGGAAATTCACTAGGAATAGAGATTACGGGAGTAATTCGATTCCACTTTGCATTCCCATACAAATCTTAATTCCAAACCAAATATTACAAACGTTAATTGGCACTAGGTGATTAAACATTGTGATCCCAAGAATCCTATTTTGCTCTATTGTCTACAAAACCTTGCTACTTATTTTATTCTGCTTATTATTTTATATAATCAATCAACCTTCAAGTTTTGTTCGGATTAGTTTCATATGAGTAACCTAGTAGCTAGTGATTAGTACACCACCTCTCTGTGGTTCGACAACCCGAATACTCCGGGTATTATTTGTTTGCCCCAAATTACAGCAATCATCGACCAGTCAGCCTCCTTATTGAGGACACCCTACACGGCGGAGATTATGGCCCAGCCATACCCACTTGATCTACAAGCCCCGGGAACAAGGGTTACGATGGCCGTACGGACCCTGAGGTCCATGTCAACGATTACTACGGAAACATGATGATGATAGGCGTGTCAGACGCCGTGATGTGTAGGGCTTTCTACTCCACGCTCTCCGGTCGGGAGGCAGAGTGGTTCCGAATGTTGCAGCCGGGTTCTATAGCTGACTTTCCTACCCTGGCAATGAAGTTTGTGCGGAAGTTTATTACTTCCAAGATAGTGAGGAAGCCCTACATGTACTTGGAAAAGGCCAAGCAGCTTGAAGGGGAGAGCTTGTCCGATTTCCTTGTCAAGTGGAAAGCCGCGGTCGGGGAGGTTGAACCGATGGACGATGCAACCGCCACCCATATGCTCCATATTTCTCTCCAGGTGGGTTATCTTTACCAAGATTTCATCCTCCATCCCCCGGCCACTTATGAAGAAGCCCTTCGAAGGGTGACGGATTACGCTAATGCCGGAGAAGCGAATGCCGTCAAAAGATCGCAGGAGGTCAGGACTTCATCCCGTAAGCCAGCCGGCCGGGCGGAACATCGGTCGAGTGATGACCATCCCCGATCCAGCACCAAGCCTGGCGAGTTTACGGCCTTGAACCAATCAGCGGCGGAAGCTATGCAGTACGCCCAATCTTGCAATCTCATCCGACTCCCTCATCCCGGACAAGACGGACCGGACAAATCTAAGCATTGCGCTTACCACCGGTGTGCCGGGCATGACACAGAAGAGTGCACGCACTTACGCCAGCTCTTGGAGGATTTGTTGAGTATCAGAAAGCTAGATAAGTGTGTGGGGAAGAGAGAAGAAGCGAAGAAGAATACCGATAGGAGAGATCAACGACGTTCTCATCACCGCTCTGATCGCTCCGATCGTGCTGAACGTTCAGATTGGTCGGGTCATGACCATAGGGATGACCGCCGGGACCCCGACCCTCCATCTAGCAGTCGACCAGCAGGCAAGCCGACCATCCATGTCATTTTTGGTGGATTGGATGATGCTTCCCGACCGAGGGAGAATTGCCCGGTCGCGATTGTAGACTCCCGTGAAACCGGGAAAAGACAAAAGATGGAGCCCATAACCTTCACCTTGGAGGATCAGCCCAATAGTGGTGACCACGGGTTGGAAGCGCTCGTGGTCACGATCGATGTGAATGGGACCGATGTCCAGAGGGTTATGGTGGACACGGGGAGCAGTGTGAACGTCCTTTATTTGGACGTATTTGAAAAGCTTCATCTGGACAAAAGCGAGCTGATTCCGGTCGGTTTACCATTGTCTGGATTCACCGGGGCCCTCATTCGCCCCGAAGGAAAAATTGTTCTCCCGGTCGAGATAGGCACCCCGCCCAAGTCTGTCAAGACCGAGTTAGAGTTTGTTGTGGTCAATCTGCACTGCGTCCACAACATCATCTTAGGCCGACCAGCAATAATGAAGATCGGTGGGATAATTTCCATGCCCCACATATGCATGAAATTTCCTACCCCCAATGGGGTCGGCGTAGTTCGCGGAGATGTTCAATCCGCGCGAAAGTGTTATACCCGGGCTGTTAATAAGTGTGATGCTGGATCATCTTCCCAGGTGAACACGATCGTTAAGGAAGCAACCAATGACCGGAAGGAGCAACCCGAGCCTTCCGAAGAGGTTGAAGAAGTTCCCCTGTCCAAGGACCGACCGGACAGGAAAATTAAAATTGGTCGGGCCCTTACCCCCGAGCTACGATCAGAAGTGTTAGCAATTCTTCGCGAATTTGCTGATATTTTCGCGTGGGGGCCCGAGGACATGCCCGGGATCGACCGAACGGTTATTTGTCACAAGCTTGCCGTCGATTCCACAGCCAAGCTGGTCGTTCAGAAGACGCGGGATCTATCATCCGATCGCCGCGAGTTCGTCAGAGAAGAGGTCAAGAAAATGGCGGCGATCGAGCACATCTGACCGGTGATTTATCCCGAGTGGGTGGCAAATATTGTTCTTGATCCGAAGCCCCCAGCTTAGAGGATGTGCATAGACTTCACTGACCTCAACAAGGTTTGTCCGCTCGACCCATATCCGCTCCCAAGCATCCATCAAATGGTCAACGAGACGGCCGGGGCCGAGTTAATGAGCTTCATGAACACTTTTAAAGGGTATCACCAGATAATGATGCACCATGAAGACGAAAGCAAAACAGCCTTCGTGACCCCAGACGGGCTGTATTGCTACCGAGTGATGTCGTTCGGCCTCCGCAACGCGGGAGCGACCTATCAGAGGATGGTCAATATGCTTTTCGCTGATCTATTAGGCCGAACAATGGAAGCGTATATTGATGATATGCTGGTCAAGAGTCGGGACCGATCCGACCACACTCGGGACCTCCGGGAATGTTTTCAGATTATGAGGAGATATCAGCTGAGATTGAACCCGACCAAGTGCACATTTGCGGTTCAAACCGGGAAGTTCCTCGGCTATATGATGACCAGGAGGGGGATCGAGCCCAACCCGGCCAAGGTTAAAGCAATTCTGGACATGCAACCACCTACCACCGTTCGGGAGGTCCAGCAATTAACCGGTCGGTTGGCAGCGTTAAGCCGATTTCTCTCCAAGTTAGCCGAGTGTGCTCTACCATTCTTCAAGGTATTGCGCAAGGTGAACGGATTCGTTTGAGATGACGAGTGCCTAGCGGCTTTCGACGAGCTGAAAGAATATCTTATGTCACCAATTGTTTTGTCGAAGCCAGAGCTCGGGGAAGAGCTAGACATGTATCTCGCCGTATCCGATCAAGCAGTAAGCGCAGTATTGTGCCGAACTGATCCAGAAGGGGTCCAGCGACCGGTGTACTATATAAGCCACGCGCTACATGGTCCCGAGCTCCGGTACTCCCGGCTAGAAAAGGTCGTCTAGCCTTGTATATCGCCGCGAAGAAGCTAGCTCCCTACTTTCAAGGTAGAGTAATTCGTGTGCTGACCGATCAGCCGATCGGCCCGGTCCTCCGCACTGCCTCATCATCTGGTCGCCTAGTCAAGTGGGCGTTAATGCTGACCCAATATGCGATCGAATATCGACCAAGACCAGCCATCAAAGGTCAAGCCCTTGCAGATTTCTTGGTCAAGTGCACCGCTCGAGACACCCGACCCCCGGAGGTCAGGACCCCGAGGCGGAGTGGTGGTCGCTGGCAACAAATGGGTCAAGCAGTAAGAAAGGGGCAGGAGAAGGAGTGGTGGTTACGAGCCTGGAGGGATTCAAGGTTTATTTTGCTCTAATGTATCAGTTCCACCCGACCAACAACGAAGCCGAGTACGAAGCTTTTGTCAATGGCTTACAGTGTGCTCGATACTTGGGGGCTGAGTACAGCCGGGCTCAGACAGATTCCGCGCTCGTGGTCGGACAGGTCCTGGGTGACTATGAAGTGAACGGCGAGCGACTACAAGCTTACCGGGACCTCTCAATGGAGAAGCTCGCCTTGTTCCGGGGATACACAGTTCGACATGTACCCCGATTGGATAATGCCGACGCGGACATCTTGTCCAAGTTGGCTCAAGACACCCCGGAACATATGTCAAAGATCGCTCAGATTTTGGTGATCCCGAAGCACAGTATCCACCGATTGTCGGTCGCACCTATCCAACCGGCAGAAGACAACTGGATCACCGATCTGATGGAATTCCTTGAGCACGGTCGGCTCCTAGACGACCCCCAGCGTGCTCGGAAGGCCAAGCTCAGAGCTCCAAGGTTTCAGATCTAAGACGGTCGTCTGTATAGGCGGTTGTACGGAGGACCTCTTATGCGCTATTTGACCGCGTTCGAAGCTGATTTGGTGATGAAGGAATTGCATCCGGGCATCTGTTCATCGCATCAAGGAGGCCGATCATTGGCTCGTCGAATCATGTTGATCGGCTATTATTGGCCGTCTCTCCAGTTAGATTGTGAGAAGCTTGCTCGGGATTGTGAGACGTGTCAGTTGTTCGCTCGGATGCCCGGATGACCGGCTACGTTCTATCAGCCGGTCACGACTGCAATTCCTTTTGCAAGGTGGGGGGTAGATATTCTGGGACCACTCCCGCAATTGGCCGGTCGGAGAAAGTTTGTCATCGTCGCCATTGATTATTTCTCCAAGTGGATCGAGGCCGAGCCGTTAGCCACGATCACCTCTCAACAATGCGCCCGGTTCCTTTGGCGCAATGTCATCTCCCGATTTGGTGTGCACGTGCATCTCATCAGCGACAATGGCCGCCAATTTGTAAGCCAGTATTTTTAGAATTTTTTTGCCACGGTCGGGACAGCTCATTTCCGGTCGTCGGTGGCCTACCCTCAGGGAAATGGACAAGTCGAGAACGCCAATCGGACAATCTTAGAAGGCCTGAAAAAGAAGCTACATTCGGCTGGTCGAAGTTGGGCCGAGGAGTTACCAAATGTTCTATGGACTTATCGGATGACCCCGAGGGAAGCTACATTGGAGACACCGTTTGCCCTTGTCTATGGGGCCGAAGCCCGACTCCCGATCGAGGCATGGATCCCGACCGCGAGAGAACGGGCTTACAATGCAGAAGACAACGAACACTCGATGGTCGTGGATCTCGATGGGATCGAAGAAAAGAGAGAGCTAGCCGCTAGGCGCATGGCCGAGTATCAGAAGCGAGTGAAGAGTTCAAAGGATATCAGGGTCAACCCTCGGTACTTTCAGGTCGGAGACTACGTTCTACGCCGATGGGAAGCCAGTCAACCTTTGGAAGGAGGAAAGCTAGCTCAAAACTAGGAAGGGCCGTATGTCATCACCGCTATAATACGGCCAGGAACCTACCGACTGGAGACGACGACCGGTAGGCAGATCGAGGGCACTTGGAATTCCGAGCACCTCGTTTTATTTAGGCATTAGCCTGTTTGTTGTAATTATTGACGAAGTGGGGGCTCAACCTGCGAGTAGGCCCTGTTCGTCGTTCAAGTGTTTGTAAATTATTTGTTGTAAATATTTTCCAACCGTTTGTGAACGGGAATTCTCAATGTAAATACGATCGGTGATTGCTCGACTGTTTGCATACGGCGGCCCGATCGGTTTTTTAATTATTTTACCATGAAGTAGGTTACTTTGAATCTCCTTCCCCAACCCGTCGCGCTCGGAATCTACCCGACCGAGCCTCGACATCAACAATGAAGACGGGCTTTCGCCCAACACAACACCTCTCCCTCGGTTCCGACCGATAGGGGTGTGCAACAAAGTGGCTCTAATAGCCATATACTTCAATGGCTCTAATAGCCGTCTACCTACATGGCTCTAATAGCCACATATTACATGGCCGGTCGGAATTTTATGACTGTCTGTTGCGCTCATCTTGGGCGGACACTCGGGTCACGCCACCGATTGGGAAAGCCAGAGCTACAGCAAAATTTTCCCGATCCGTCCAACTTCTTTCTATTGTCGCACTCACTCGTGCCTCGTGCGCACAACAATATGGGGGCTAGGATGAAGGAAGTGCAAAAAGCCAAGTGCTCGGGAACACCCCGAGCGAGAGAGGCCAAAATATTTTGCGATAAGGCCGTATGGTCGGGACAATCCCGAACGGACAGGCCAAAGACTTCGACATTATGAACGGCCAAAAGGCCATTTGGTCGAGAAATACACGACCAGGCCATCAGAATCAAAAAACGTATAAAATATAAATAACGAGCGAGACAAGATGAATAAAAAAGGACTTCATTAAGATTGTTTAAAAGGTACCCAGTACAGCTCGGGACTGGGCTCCCGATCAGTTCTACTTGAAGCAAAACAAAAATGAAGATCTAAGCTACTTCTTCGTAGCAGCACCGCTGGGTTCGGCGACTTCATCTTCACGGCCAAAAGGAGCCAAGCCGGGTCGGGAATTTCTGCTGGGAGGGTCGTTAAGACCAATTGGAGATCGTCGCCTTCAAGCGCTTGCTCCATATTCTTTTGTGCCATCTCTCGCATCTTTTGTTGGCCGAATTTAAACGCCCACCGACCAAACCAGTTCCTCCCCGACCTTCGTCTTCCGGACCTCCCGGAGGAACTGGGTACCCGACTCTATATCCCGGAAGAGAAACTGGGCCAGTTCGCCCGTGTTGTTCAACCTGGATTTCAGCTCGGCCGCTTCCCCGACCGCCTGCTGGGCGACCTTCTCAGAAAGGTCCCGGTCTTCTTTGGCCTTCTTCAGCTCCTCCTTAGCTTTCTTGAGCTCCGCCTGGAGGTCTTTGGCTTTTTGTAGTCGCCGATCGGCGACCTTCTTCAAAGCATCAGCCTCATTGGCCAGCAGAGCTCGACGTTGAAGGAGCTTGGTCGCCCGGGAAATCTGCAGAAGACAATTGGGGTTAGCCCGAGCAAAGATACTTGTATGAAAATATGAAGAAAGAAGAAGGGTTTTTATCTCGGTCAGGTCGTGGCCAATCCTCTCGGCCACTTGGGTCGGGGTGAGCTGGCTTAGGTCCTCCTTAACTGGCCCAGAATTCCCGATCCGGGTGAGGATCGACGAGTCGCCCTTAGTAGCCCCGACCGGAGGGCTCGGGCTCCGTTGGTTTCTCCGGCGTTTCAGCGCGCCGGTCTCTTCCACCCCTTTCTCGGACGCCTTTTCTTTGCCCTTGGGGGCAGTCACCCGGGTG